TCTTAAAGAGTTATTCTTTAATATATGGAAAAGCAAGAACCAGTGCCATTTTAGCTGAGCACGTAAAGATCAGAAATGAGTGTCCAAGGGCAGACACAGCCCTCTGGAGGTCAAGACCAGGGCGGTTAATGATTTATAATTTAACTCCAACTCTCATCGCGCTATCCTTGACTATTCTAAGTCTTTTTAGATTTCAAATTCAATTGAAAGAAGCATATTCGTATACAGACTGCTGAAGACCCATATGAGGGGGGAGGCCAATGGACGCAGCTCATCTACCATATTGTTAGGTATCGGGGGCCTCTATGGCTATAAAGGCAGTAGTTCTTGCCCGTAGATTAGGGGGGTGAGTGCTCGATTTATGCAATATTGAAAGCTCTAGTGTTATTAAGTATAATTCTACGGTCATACCTGGCCTTGTTTCACTTTGTATGACGAATACCTCTGGAAAATTACAACCTTTGTAAAATCTTGTAGTTGCTTGCCACTCATAATGCTATGAAGATAACCCCTTCCGACTGGTATATAACAGTTATCAACTTGTTGTAAGACATATAGGATATCTTCCTAGAAAGTATTATAATAATATCATCTAGTAGGACGAGGGGACCTGCTCCCGTTACCATTTATCCGAGATAAATACCTAACAAGAAAAAAGAGGCTAAGTGGCTGGCGTGCTGATGCTTCTCATTTTTCGAGGGCAGCTAACCTCGGAGAGAGGTCTTTGGGCAGATCCACCGACATTTTGATGGTGTTAGGACCCTGGCTTCGCTCTATGGACTGTCGGCACCAATACGGAATCACGGTACAAATTTGGGATATAGACTGTACCATCTTCCATATGTGTTATTCCATTCGTTGTACCTCGGAATTGGGTAAGAGAATAACACGCCATGACATATACTGATGCATGTGCATCTTCACGGGCTCCGCATTGTAAGCGTCGTATTGGTATGTATATCAACAGGAGGGGGGGGGGGGCAGCCCTCTAGGTTCCATGTAATTCCTGGGACCCTAGCACTACTAGACTCACGTTGCGAGCCCGAATCTCCTTGAATAGGTACCTTATCCGTTTTCTTGGCTATAATCCTTGCAGTTTGATAGTAGGTATACACCTCCTTCCCCATTTCATCATCTGTGGCGTATATCAGAGCTAAATGAGCAGAGGGCCCTTTTCTACATAAATATCTAGCTTCTTCCAGCTTGTTTGAGAATTACATCTCACCATCAAGTGGACTTCACTATTCACAAGCCCGATCTACCTTTTTTTTCTTCCTCCAAATATATAAATCAATACTACCGTCAACATGAAGTTTCCTACTTTGGCTATCATAGCTTCTGCTATGCTCCCTGTCGTCGTCTATGCAAGTCGCTCATTTCTGCGCGAGGCTGGTCCAAGTGAAGACATTAGTGCCCGAGCCCTACCTAAGGACGGTTTTCACTCGTACAAAGAAGGTGGAGCGGCATCTGAAGATGGCTTCCATTCATACAAAGAACGATCAACCGACGATAACGAGGATGGTTTCCACTCATATAAGGAACGAGCAACTGGCGACGAGGACGGCTTCCATTCGTACAGAGAACGAGCCGCTGGTAATGATGAAGATGGATTTCATTCATATAAGGAACGCGCAGCTGGCGATGAGGAGGGATTTCACTCATACAAAGCACGTGCGGTAGCGTCTGACGACGGTGAGGATGGTTTCCACTCATACAAAGAGCGCGATGTATCATCTGGTGCTGGCGAAGATGGCTTCCATTCATACAGGGAGAAAAAGATGAAAGTTTGAGATCCAAGACCTGAACAATTTTAGGTTACCTTATAAAAGTTTAGCAATGTTGGCCGAAGCTTATGTATTTACTTGGTTCGGAATGATATGAGCTGGAAGCAAGGTCATATGAGATTTCAGTTTTAAGGAAGCATCCCTAATATTGTCTAAATAGTTCATCAAATACTCTCATTAACACAACTGGTCTTCAAATTTCATTTGTATGAAACTAAATTTGACATGAGCGATTGCCAGATATTTCACACTCTTATTCTACCATAATTGAGCGACCATCCTCGCAAACTGAAACATCGAAATTATGTCTTAGAAAGTACACGTTGTTCATTTCATCTCTAACATATTAAAATCAGAGCAACCGATTACGTCACTAGTTTCCGAACTATGAGCAGTGAAGCTTCCGTTACATTGAAATATTCGGCCGAGTCTGAATCGACTCGGAGACGATGAGAATTCTCGATGCACGTTCAAAACGTATCTACAAGTACGACTTTGATCCACCCATCTAGACTAGAGGAAGCATCATCATCGTTTCTGTAGTAGTGATATAGAAACAATCCCCGGATTACTCGCAAATATTCCCATGCAGGCAACAAATCCGAAGATGCCAAACGGCACCCTCACGATATGTTACACTGCATATAGAAGAGGCTATGCTGGTTACTAGCTCCATTCACTCAATGACTGACGGGTTTATCCACCAGTATTTGGCTGCTGTTGAAGGCACTCGTGTTCAATAGGGGGTTAAGCAGTTCCCTAAATAGGCAACATTGCGAGACGCCACAAATTTCCATAATCATGGCTACACATGCTTAGCTCATGCTTTGCTTTGACCCTACCCAAAGTGATATAGTGAGATGATATGGTAGTTTCTATTTCTCACGTTCAAAATATATAAATAAAAACGTTGAAGCGTCTTTACATCGATAATAGTATGCATTAATTACTTCCGGCTTAGTTTTATCTCTTTTGTATCATTAAAAACCACTAGACCAGATTATTTAACGAGATTTTCACGTGGGCTTTCTCAAACCATATTAGAATAGAAGTAAAATATCCTTTACTTGATAATCAACGGCTGGTCGCTCGGCTGCACTGTTTTCTCTCACCGGTCGCCTGCGGCAGGTTGGTTCTCACTCTTCGGAGGTGGCTAAGCGGTACAAAATATTGAACCTAACATCGAGATCTGCTTGCTTTTAAATACTCACCTCAATCTTAGCTGATTCATTGCAACCATATAGAAACTCCATGTGTAGTTACTTTGCCCTATACGCTTTCATCAATATGGGGCAGAGAATATGAAGGCTTCATGTTGCTGAACCAGGCCGCCATTGACAACTCCATGACGAATACCAGGAATTACCCTCCGTGACCACCAGCCCGATATATAAATTACGTGCTAGAGCGACCATAGCTTAAATCTATAAAAATATTAACCAGTCTGACGAAATTAATACATCATGTCGTTCAGTTACAAGATTTGGTAGACTATTTTGGTTTGGTCTGATAATTTTGATTTTGACTGAGCGTAGAGATATATCAAATCATGTCTGCTCAATGAACTTTCTGTATATAAAAATCACTATTAATTAGATTGCCAAAAATGAGTTCACCAACTTGCCTCTCGATGGTAAAACCGCGTATAGCTGGGCTTCGGAAACGACGAAACACTTTGGAATTACCGGCAGATGTAATTCTTTGCATCTCCAAATTTCTCCCTGTTGAGTCAATGGCGGCATTATCTCTTACTTGTCGGTACCTGTTCTATCTATTTGAAGAAAAATACTTGGAAGTCGCTCCATAATTAGAAACACTACATGATTATCAGTTTGCGCTACTACTAGAGAGGGATTTACCAAACCACGTTGCTTGCTTTCATTGCAAACGTTTCCATCACGTCGGCCACTATTCTGCCAAAAAGCATTTTATAAATTCTTATGCCACATCCAAGATAACACCTTGTATGATGAATAGTCACGATAAAGATGGAACTAATCTCTATATGGCCTGGTATTTTAACCCTATTTTATTTCGCATGGCTATGAAACGATATCGGCAAAGGCGACCTTGCCGAAAGTTGTTTAAGCTCTTATCGTTTAAAGAACTTAAATGGGATAAAGATGACCGTACTCTTACATGGACGTCTTTTTCATCTCAAATTCATAACGGTTCATTATTTATCCGTCACCAAAGAATTTTCACTCCAGGCTACACAGATAGATACAAATTCAAATTCAGAAGCTTCCAGTATCTGGCAGATATTAATATGCCCTCACGTTCACCTAGAGGAAGGAGGAGGTACTCGATGCGTGAACGCTTATTTGGATCCGACGTCGCCGTACCATCCGACTCCACTCAGTAAAGGCCTCGAAAAATGCCGATTCTGCGCTACAGAATTCCGGGTCGACTTCAAAAATATAAATGGATCTTGCCTGTCTATGTTCGTTACAACATGGAAGAACCTCGGACAAGGTGTCTCACATTTAGACCCCGATTGGCAAAGACACATTGACAAAAGCGGATCGATGAACTTCTCTGAACTTGACTTAGAGCTTGGCTCACTTTGTTCAACGTTTGAGCAGAGAAGATTTAGGTTTGATTCGATCATAAGTCCAAAGGAAGCGGAGGATATGATGAGAATATACTGGGCACATTCTAGAGGGAGTTGGGGCGGTGCGAGTAGCGCTTATAGAAAATTTGCGGTCCATCATTGTCGCAGGCATGCTTATGCTGGAAGGTCCGCCTGGATAAGCACCTGGATATTCGGTGACATAGGATAGGATCATGACCATCTAACATTTTAAAGCAGTTTGGTGTTATATATAAACGGCCTTGGTGGAGAATTATGTAACAGTCACTTCGTAGTAATTCAATTGAATTTCATCCTCGTACAATGTTAGAGACAAATTGATAAAACTTTATATCATCACAGCACAAGCTGATACTACAATTTAGAACTTGATAGCCTCAATTAACGATAGGTTAACCAAAATTCTATCGATTTGATGGATTAAACTTTACTTCATTGACTGATCTGTAGAATTAAATTTAATGAAACTGAAGAAAGGGATGCTAATACCAGACCCGCAACTCCCCCTTGCCCCAGCCCAGGGGCTAACCACCAATCGGCTCATCTTCGGCTCAGTTACCAGCCCTTCATTGTAGAAAAACGTAAGAAAAGTAATTAAAAAAGGGGGAGAGAGTAAAATTGATTGTCCTCGGTGAGACTCGAACTCACGACCTTTGGATGGCCAAGACCGTTGACAGTCTTTTCATATGGATAATATGAGACCAACGCTCTAACCACTTGGGGAAAGTTAATAATCTGCTTTGACCAATTAAAGAGAGGGGAATCCTTACACTGAGCCACGAAGACATGCGATAAAACAATTTCTTATCTAATCACATATGACAATACACAATTTAACTATTCTGAAACTAACTTTACTTCGGGAGTGGAGCGGAATTGCTTACATCTCTCGTTTTCAATAGAACAAATAACTCATCTGGAACATAGCCTAAATACATTCATATTCACTCATGGAATAGATGCTGGACTCGAACGCAGGGAGAGGATGTGGCGCAACAAGTCGAAGACAGCCCGTAACGTAGATACTCAGATATACAGTACTACCATAGCCGAGCTAGAGCCCCTGAATTCCATTATGCTGCATGTTCACCGAATTATTTGATTTTTCGTGATGAGAATATCATTGAATAGTGTTACATTATCTCCTCGCTCCGCCAGCGGTATGTAAACGCGAGATCATGTATTGCAGCACAGTCAGCCCTAGCCTTTAATCCTTCAAACTAGTCAATAGCATAAAAATACCTACCACGCATAGCCCCCACAGTGATTCCGCAACTCAAACCCAGACCGCAATATTATCACATACATGTACGGTAGCATGATAATGCGACTCACGGAAAGTCGGAAAGTCGGAATGGAAAGTTGAGTTTACAGCAGGTTGATCAGAACGCATTCACTAGGTTCTAAGGGAATGAATGGTATTTTACTTTCTGTACATTTAACTACTACTCTCTTTCTTCTTTCCGAGAGTGCAAATAAACTAACTTTAACCCTACTCTGAGCTCCACTTTTGGTCGTTCAAATGCGGGCTGTTTATTGGAGTAGCGGCTCGCTGCAGTGTGGCTGATACACCTCACCACGGCACTGGAACGCGGACCATAATTGCGGCTGAAGCTGGCTCGCATCTCAAACGATCGGTCTATAAATAATATCGTTACTGTACGGAGGTACAGTATGTGTAATTACTGGATGGTATTCGAGTGGATAGAGTAATCTTTTAGTATTATTGATATGGACCCTTATTGCAGGTTCAAAAAGTATATATAAATGAAAGCGAAGGTGTTTCGAGCCCAGAGTATATAAACAGCAACTCAAGCTCAGCTCAAGTGGTTCATTTTGTCATCAGAAGCATCATCCAGTTCGTGATTCAATATGCGTTCCTTTCAAGCAACTGCCATGGTCGCCTTGACCGCTTTGACACTTGCAGCTGCTCAGAATGCCACTGTCAACCTGTTCATCATCGACAACTTTGATGGCAACGCTGGCTACCAAGCCTCCATTGTCAGTGCCTGTGGCGACGCAACTGTGTATGCGGTCCAGTGCACCAGCGGTCCAGCCTCCGCGTCGCCCTCGACCTGTGGCCCCGCTGCTCCGGTAAGTTTACTTCCAATCCATAATGCTGCCATCTCCACGACGTGTTAACACCAATGTCCTCTAGACCCTCACTTTAACAGAAGGCCCCTCCGTCTACATTGCCTCCTCTGTGTCACTTATCGAATCCAATGGAGAGACCGTCACTGCTACCATAGCTGAGTCGTGCGCCTTGAAAGGTACAACCGCTGCCAACTGCAAGGCAGCAGTAACCCTCTCGGCCCAGGGACAGGAGACATCATCAACAACGGCTCTCACAATCTCAGGAACCAACTATCACCGATTTGATGTACCCATCACGGCTGGTGCAGCAAAGACAGCAACTGCCACAGGCAAGTGCACATCAGGCGCGATGCATACCGCCGATTCTAGAGGAGTGTTAGCCATGGCTGTTGCGGGTGCATTGGGACTTGCAGGAGTCCTCCTAATGTAGTTTTCTGTCTGATTAGTGTTATATATGTGGGGGGGCAAACGAAGGGAGCATCATTAAAATACCAAGCAAACAGCATCACCACCTTACGCGCAATTCAGAGCTGGGATTTAGGCGTTAGAACCGGGAAGCAGATGATTTGCATTTAATAGGCGAGAAATGTTCTGATATTTTGGGCTTTGTTTTGTGGAGAAATAAGTGTATTACATCAAGTGTAGCATAGCATTCAGGATACCATTGCATTATAAAGGGGAATGGCGGAACACTTCACAAGCCAACTTTAAATTAACTTAATATTTGATTCGTATATTATTAAGTTATGAACCAAGACATCATCCATTTAAATGTCGATATTGTTTTAACAGGAGCTTCAGACACGCTTTCGCTCTTCTCTACCTCCTTAATGGCACTCATGTTATTCCCTGCTCCTCTGCTCTCTAACATCGTTTTTAGCATAGCTGCTTTGTCGAATAAGAAAGGAGGAAAATAACTCTCAACAAGGCTTAGTGGAGAAAGTCGTCTGTAGCCAGGTAGTTTAGGATGTCTCTCACATAGCACATTAGGGTCTGCGCCGTGCCTGATAAAGATCTCGAGGATCCATACCCATGTATCTGCTCTGCGCTGCCATTCTGGGTCAGCTGGATAATTCTCCGCGTATGGAGGGTTTTCAAAAGAGGTGAAGTGCAAAGCTGCAGCTGTTACAGCTCGTTGCCAGGGAGTGGGTCCACTATGTGAAATATTTGGGTCAGTGCCGCCTTTCAGGATCGTGTTTATGAGCTTAGGATCAGGCGGTTGGGAGTGAACACTCCAGACTCCCTCGGTAGAGGAGAAAGCTCTCATTAGTAAATGCTGATTTACATCCTGGTCAGCTATGATCCCCGAGTTATACTTGATAGTCACATAGTGAGTAAGTCCTATATCATGGGCAAGATTATAGAATGTAGTCTCTCTCCGCAGAGGCTTGATACCAGGGATTTCAATTCCATAAGACCAGTGATGTAGATAACCTCCAGGCTTTTGGGAACCGGAAATAGCGCCATGCTGGATAGGGATCGAGATCCCCATAGTACTAGCACCTAATTCATGGCTTAGGGGTTTAGGCGTTCTTCGCTCAGAAATCGAGACTGCATTCCTGTTTTCACTTGAACTGCTCAAATAGTCATCATCATCCGATGTTTCCCGCTTAGAGAAATTAGTCGGGGCTCCAACGCGCCATTGATATGAAGCAGCAATATCTAGCTGGTCCAGTAAGTTAGAAAACCCACATCCAAGATCTGTTTCTGCTCCATTGGCGTATACCAGAGCGCTCGAGACGATACTCATATCTAGTGGAAGAGCTGGGCTAACTTTCGAGCATTTGATTTGGAGGACACAGGATCTTAACATTGAAAGGTTTGGACTAAAACTCTTTCCTGCAGTACGCGAGAGTAGCTCGTTCCAAACTTCTGGCTTTGCAAACCAGTCTGATACTGTCCGGTGGAGGAATACAACCTTAGCATCTGGAGCTATTGACGAATATTGAGTCTCGTTTGACTCTAACAATCCTACACACACACTCTTAAGTCTAGCATCCATTACCTGGCACCTCATCTCAATCTCATCATAAGTGAGAGGTCGTATCGGCGTAGTCTCTGCCAACGTCTCATCTTCATCTTCCGCCCAAGACAGATTCAGCAGAGTTACTTTATCTGGTGAGTACTTCCTAGCAACTCGAAAAATTTGAAATATCTGAGACGCCTGCTCGTAATAGAAAGGATCTGTGTGTTTGAGCATATGTGCATACAGAGACTCAAGATCCTCGGGAAGATGCCGGACCCTCCTTTGGAGGTCTGAGATACGGTTAAAGTCTCGTAAGCCGTGTAGTAATGACCTCACAACGAGTTTAACCCATAAAAATACCCCGCTAGCTTTTTCAACAATCTCGTCAATAAGAACTGACACTTGCGTGGCGTGCTGTTTAGAAAGCTGGAGCATATACTTGTGACTGTAGAGTCTGTCTTTTACATAGTGGCTAATATCCCCATATGTCAGATTTTGTAGCTTTAAGCTAGGATAACTAGAGAATGAACGTTCGAAGACCAGAAGCGGCCGGCTGGAAAGACAAAGTTTGATATTCGGTGACTTCGCATGTTCTTGAAGCAAATCAACGATATCATCATAGTCACCTTCGTACTCATCTAGTCCATCGATGAACAAGCAAAGTTTGACTTTTGGTAAGAGACACTGCAGGAGGTTCCGGAAGACACGTTTGAGTTGGACCATATTCCAAGGCTTTGGCTCCGGTGGCAAAAACCTTGAATCTAAGGGAAGATTACTGGAGATGATTGCTGTTGCTCGGGTAGACCATTCTTCCCAAATATCAGGCATTACCCTTGGGAGTAGATTTCGGTGACGTTTCAAAATCTCAAATAAGAGCGATCTTATAAGGCCGCGCTGGGACTTTTGCTCATTATCTCCGCTATTCCAAAAGAAAAATCCAGACATCTCGGATGGTATTGAGTCAGCCCACACCGCGAGTTCCTCTTTGGTCCTATTATTCTCATAGATATACTTCATGAGAGTTGACTTTCCAGACCCCGCCTTGCCATTAACCCAGTATATCCCGCTTCCATAACGTAGCCAATCTACGAAATTGCTCCATGGTTTGGTGGAAGTATCGGCTTCTTCGTAGATCCATTCGAACGTCTGTTGATATGCGGCTTCTACGCTCTCTTGACGATCCGTTAATGTTGGAAATGATAAGCTTCCTAGAATACTGTTTTCAATGACGAGAAGACGGATTTCCTCTTCAACATCAGCGTCTCTCGAACAGCTCTCTAGCGATTTGGTTGTAGAGTCGTTCGCGCCCGTCGGAGACTGTAGCATCCCAACAGGCCTTAGTTTTCCTTGAACGATGTCTTGTATCTTTTCTGATTCCTTTATTTCTCCCTTATTTTGAGATTCCTGAATCTCAGCAAGTTTTTCAGCTTGAATTCTTAGTTGATTCGCCAACTCGTCACGAGCACTTCGGAAGCTGCTCAATATAAGTCGTGAAGATTCGGTGAATTGATGAAATGTCTGCGACTGTTGAAATACGAGATCATTGAGACTATTTCTGCACTTGATATCAGCCTATATGACGCAGTTGGGAAAATATCAATACCGGAATGAGACCAGGATTCGAAACTCTATCTCGCCTTTAAATTCTCGAAGGGTAGTAGCTAACCCC